CTACTTAATAAATTACTAATATATTTTATAAAAAAAATGCATTGCTTTATAGATCTTATTCAAGGCTATCTAGCAATGCATTTATTTTTGTGATTACATGTTTATATATAAAGTCTTTGCAATTTAAAATACTTGATGGCTTTAGGCTGTTCACACCATATAAATAACTTAAAATTCATAAAAATTATAATTATATGAAATTTTTTACTTATAATTTCTTTATAAAAAAATAAAGTGAAAGAGCTTTCATTATTTTTATTATTTATTTAGTTCTAAAACATATTTATACTAATATAAAAAATTAATTAATTAGTATTTTAATTAATACTTTAATTTAAAGATGATCTTCTAAATTATTTTTGGAAAAAATGATATTTCAGCAAATAATTCAGTTTGCTTATATTAATAAATACTTAAAAATACTTGTTTTAATTTGTATAGAATTCAAATAATTTCAAAAAATAATTTTGATTACTAATAAAATAAATCAAAATAATTTTAGATTTAATTTTAGCAAGTTAATTTCAGCAAATTATTTAATTAGATAATATTATTTTGATAATCATTCTTACTTTAATTAGTATTTAAATTAATATATAAATTAAAATATTATTTATTTTTCTTTTTAAATTTATTCTCTTTTTGAACTATATAAAACTTTAAATATATTTTTCTTATTATTTTTATTTTTGTTTAATTTTTTTATTTATATTAAATAACCAATTTTATAATTATAGTTAAATTTTTTTATAATCATATTTATAGTTATATTATTTTATAATTATTTTATTTTGCTTTTTCATTTATATATAAATATAATAAAAATCTTTTTATAGTTATATTTTTTATAGTTACCAAATTTTTCTTTTCTAAAGATGATAACTATAGAGAAATTTTATTATAGTAAACAATATCTTTATAAAAATTAACAATTTTTGTAAATATTATTTTTTTGTTAATAATACTACAATTATTTAATTAGTAATAGTTATAATAAGATTTTTGAATATAATTATTAGTTGATTAAATTATTGAATATTTATAACTAATTATTATTTTTTTGATAATTTATTTTTGTTAGTTTTTTCTTGATTTTAATAATAATTGCTTGTTTTAAATTACAATTTGATTTTTGAAATTTTGAAATTTTGTTATTTGTTCTCAAAGTTTTTGTTGTCAAAGATAAATTTTTCTTAACAAAATTTATATATATATTTGAATTTCTTATTTGTTTAATAAAGTATTCTCTTAATAATTACTAAATTGATTTATTGATTTAATTATTGGATTTTTCAATTAACTTTTTTAAATTATTTTTTTATTTCTCTGAGTTACTTTTTAATAAAATCTTTTTTAAATTAATTTATTTTTAATTCTTTAAATAATTAATATTAGTTAATTTTGTTGAATTTAGTTTGATTAATTAAATATAGTAATACAGGCAGGAATAATACATTTACCTGTGAGAAATTTATTGAACTTATGAAATATACCTATTGATAAGTTTAGATATTATACACTATATAACAACAAAAAATCGTATGCATCAAAAAAAGTAGTTTATAAGTTTTTATTGCAGTTAATACATATATCTAGAAAAAATTGACAAGAGTACCGAGTATTAACAGTGATGAATAGTGTAAAAGCTGAAGAGCCTTAGAATGGTATTTATCATAATTTCAATTAAAAAAATATATTATTGAAATGTTTGGCGTTAGCGGAATACAAAATTTGGTCATTTGCTTTTTGATAAGTGACTTTTGGTCACTGATCACTAAATTTTAATATTAAAATAAGGTCATTTAGTAGGCCACTTGAGGTCACTTTGAGGTCACTGTCCAACATGCTTAAAATATTAAAGAAGAAATGTGGTATTCAAGGACCTGTAAATCAGATAGAAGGTGATTTAGGATTAGAGTGAAAGGAAAAAGAGAATGCTCAAGAACTAAACAGTATTCATATACATATAAAATTCGTACGAAAAAAAACAAGTAATTGAACATTTCTCCAATAAATAGTGCTTCAGATTCGTATTCGTATGAATAAAAACAGATTCGCATTTAACGAACAATTTTTTATTCGAATAAGCCCTTGTTGATACGAATAACTCGAATAAATTCTGCCAGTAATACAACTTCAGCCATGTATAATTTCATCCCGCTAACTATATAAGAAATAAAGAACTTGCTTCTCGAATTATATCATCGCGCGCTTTCTCTTGCCACTAATACATACTTGTCTAATAAGAAAATAAAAAAAAGTTCTATTTTTACTACGAGTGACATTCGCTTTGCGAATGTCACTATTGTCTGTTATGAATTTGTTGGTGGGCAATCAACAAGTTTCTTTTCGTATTTGTGATTGAAAACATTGCTTTCTCTAGTACAATTCGCTAATATACTAGCGTGTTTATATCAAAGACTTTCTTCTGAGAAAATTTATCGTTCTTAAATTCGTTGTGCGATGATTGAGCCAAGTATTTATTTGTATTACCTATATACTATTTTAATTTGAATAATAATAGTATGTCTTGTGGCGTTTTCTTTATTTTCTGAAAGTCGATCGGATTTCTTTCTGTCAATTTAAAGAGGATTGATGTGATTCATGTTCCAATACTATATTTTATTTGGCTAATTTATTCATTCTTACTTTGAATCTATTATAAATTAATGAACAGAAAAACATTTATAAGATATAGAAAAAATATATTTGCATCTGACATTAATAATAATCATCATTTAAACTCTAAAAAAGGGACGACGGCAACGCACAGACCTTAAAGTTCTCTTCTATGCTAAAAAGAACTCGCTATCCTTTTTGATTCGAGTATTGGCATTATTCTATGCACATACATGTTTCACAAAATGAGGATATTGTGAAACACCTAAAAGCTGAAAACGTAAAACAATGATGATTGTAAATACATGTACATGTAACTGATTTTCTCCTTCCAAATTAGTATATCAATGTTAGAGAAGCTGCCTCATCTTTACGAATAATGACAAATAAAAAAATAAACTATAATGATATTGAGTATTTCTCATAGAGTATTATAGTAATAATTAGTAATTGCCAACAATCAAAGAGCCGATTCTTGGCAAACAATACAATTTAAATGAATGGGTGTGTTATATTTTTTCGATTGTAATTAATATTTCAATTATTCACATTGTAGTATCGCTTGGATAATCGCTGGCAGAAATCACGCCATTCATTTCTTTGTTTCGTATGCAAGAATTGTTTTTTTTTGTGATAAAAATTTCATTTATTTCTCTCTATTCATCAATAGAAACAAGTCAACAAGTAAAAACTCATACGGCGTTTTCTTATTTCTTCATTTCGTCATATCTTTATTTTCAGTCACAACTTTTTCATTTATGACGTAACGCGGCAACAACTGATTTAAAATTACCAAAGAACTGCTTATTATTGCATATCCATTATATACCCTTCTAAAGAGTGTCCAAAACAACAAAAATTATAGCATACACGAATTCAAAGTTTAATTTCTTGTTTTTTTCTTCTTCAAGTCCAAAAAATACAATATTGTAGTGCAAAGCGATCTATCTTTTTTATGTAATATTTAAAATGCATATTCTGTGATTTTAAGCATAACTTTAGGAAAAAAGTGTTATCGTTATTATTATGTAAGTTGAAAATTCCGTTTAGTGTTATCGTTATTATTATGTAAGTTGAAAATTCTGTTTATTGAAATCACAGGGTTTTGTGTCATGCAGCATGAAAATTTTATTGATTGAACAAAATACACAAGAGCCATAATAATACACAAGAACCATTCTTTATTAAAAAATATTTTGAAACGTTATTCACAAATACACAATTTATTTATTTTCAGCGATAAAATATGTGCTTTCTAAAGAAAGATTCTTTCAACAAGAAAAAAACGGGTCAATTTTAGTCAGAATAGAATCAATCTACACTTGAATTTTATATATAATAAAAATATTATTACAATTAATTTTTAAATAAAAATATTATTACAATTAATTTATAAATAATAGGCGATACTATTTTGCGCTAGAATTATCAAACGCTAACTTTTGGAGATAAATGGAAATTTATATAATGAGTGTACAATTTCTGTCTACTAATTAGATATACAGATTAAATTACAAAAGACTATTTTTTTCCGAATCTAAAGCAACCTCTTCTATGATTTTTACCTTCAGATTCACTCGCATCATCAAACTGCAACACTTTAATCATACGACAATCCCCATCTCGCCCGTCAGTTCCGATAATAATACTATCATGATTGGACGCATTATTTTCCATATCGACAACCACAACATGTGGATGCATCGCTTCAAATTGTAGTACTGTACTCGTACGACGATGGCCCAACAATGCTGCCGGTGGTCGTCTTGGTCGTGATAAATTGTAGATAGTTTCGAATGGCCCGTCACCACAATAATCCGGGCCGTCGATTACTGTTGTTTCATTACAAAGAGTCCTATCACTATTGCTGGTATCACTAAGATACTGTCGGCTTTTATCTCGCAGTCGTTTTCGATATAGTATTAGACCAATTATTATGACGATGAAAGTTATAGTGAAGATTGGCACTAATACACTGGCAAGATTAACGTCATTTTGTTCAGTGGCAATATCGTTATTGTTGTCTGAAAAAGGCGATGATGGGTAGTTCAATTGTTCTACTTGGCTCGGAATTGTTGGAATAGTGGAAGGAGAATACGATGTTGTTGATGTTATAAACGGTGAGTTTTCTATTGTCGGTGTTGCTGTAGTTTGAGTTGACGTTTCTATCGGGGTGGCGTTATTATTATCATATGGAAGAGTTGGAAGTGTTATTGTTGCTGTTGCTGATGGATCTTGTATAACTATTATAATTGGAGTTTCTGTTGGATTACTGACAGATTCGGAGGAATTTATTATGAATCCATTTTCGCTCATAATGCAATCAATATCAATCGCTTTTTCTAAGAGAAACTAAACTGCTTTTCAATTGATGTGTTGTTATCTTTTTTGGTACGGATGGATGGTGCTTTTTTTGCTTTTCTTGCTGTTAATATTACGACTAAATTTATTTTTTTGCTTTTATTATCACGTGAAATAGATTTTGATCCTTTCTTTCATATACATATATTTCGTTTCGTTGGTAGTTGTTGTTGTTCGAACTGGGTGAAGACATAAAATTTCGGTTTAGAAGAATCTGACGTTTTTGTCGTATGTGTATGTGTGTGTGTGTGTGTGTGTGTGTATACGTATGTGTGTATTAAAGGTGAAAAGAAAGTAAGTGAAATCAAATTTCAATGAAAAAAAAGATGGTCAATTCGTGGTTGAATCAATCAATATTCAACCTTTTGTCGATATAACGAGAGAAAGAAAGAAGGAAAGAAATTTAGTAGGTAAATCAAAAAAGACGAGAGAAAGAAAGAAGGAAAGAAATTTAGTCGGTAAATCAAAAAAGGCGAAAAAAGAAAGAAAGAAGGAAAGAAATTTAGTCGGTAAATCAAAAAAAAACGAGAGAAATTAAATTACGGATCAACGAAGGAAGGAATAATTAACGGATAAAGATGAAAAGGAGGAAGGTGGAGAAAAATTGGAGAAGGCGAAGTAAAGAGAGAAAAAATTCAAATATGCAATGTGCGATTGCAAGTGCAAGTGCGAGGTTTCCTAAAGACGCACACATTTTATATAGTAAACTAAATGATGTTTTGATTTATGTCGTGATACTTGTAATCTGTATCAGACATATTAAAAGTATTGAAATACGAGTATCCGCTTTTTCACGTTTTTTTGTTTAAACTATAAAGTCTCGTATTAGTTAGCGATAAATGATTTTTATTATATGCATCTATGAGATTTAAATAAAACTGAATCTGCCAAAAAAAGAATACAACATAATCGATCTAGTGTTATCGATATTTCCTTTTTTTTCCTTTGAATTGTCATCATCACTATGAAAATATTGTTGGGGAATTCATAATGCATTTATATAATGAATCAACGCGTTTACATAACTATGAAAGTGATATGGTGGTATTTATTGGCTTTTTTTAAAAAAAATCGCTATGTATAATTAAATACTATTATCATACTCCGGCTTCAATTATCAATGTCTAGGTATGCAAATGCATGCAGCTGTTGTAATTTCGTCTAATGTGCAACCTTAATTGCATTTTGTTTGCTTATTGGGACATAAAAACAATCGCCATAATAACTAAGGATACGTTACTCTAGCAATACATATCTTAAGTTTTTTTTTAATGTGTACTTGTACGAGCAAGACTGATCAATTACTTGTGTATGATGCTGTTTCCTGAATTTAAACCGCAAAGCACGATCCGCTGCGGCATCGAGGTATCCGTTCCAAGACAGCCAGAGCCGTGTACGTGTGTTCACATTATCGTTTCCGTCACAAAGTCCGTGAATACCCATGGTGTGTTCCTCCAGCAAAATTTGTGGTCATCTCCATAAAAATTTTGGCGGATAAAAAGGTATTTCGTTGCCCAAAATGCCATTGCGAGCTTGATAGAGATTTCAATGGCGCCCGGAACATCCTCCTTCGCTATCTCACGCTTCATCTACCTTTACAAGAGCCGGCTCACGCTGGCGCTGTGGCCTACCTGGGACCTTTAATCTGGCCCTTGCAGGGCTTATATATACGAACCTATAAGTTTAATTATAGGCGCAATAGGTTGTCATATCCGCAATAGATGAAGAAAATCACAAAGACACAATTATATTATGAGTGTTTAATGTGTTTGACGTTTTTGGTATATTTCGCTACAAAGAAATTTCGATTTGGCATTAAACATAAATGATTATTCTAGTTGAATAGGATTCTTTGTTTATTATTTTGTAGAAGACGATCAGTTCTCGTATTCGACGGATTTAGAAGTAATATGTAGATCCTCTTTTCAGGGAAAACTTTTTTGGGTAAAGATCGGAAAAACAATGTATGTTTTATTTCTTGTTTGATAAAGGCGGGAATTTTGTGTGCACCAAAACACAATCGTTTTTGGTATAGATCAAACTTCAAGTTTTTTTAAAAAGTTAGTTTAACTTAAAGAATAGATTTTTGAGATTCTCACACAAAACGTAATTATTTTTTTTAGAGATTACTCATATTCTCAAGCACAAGATGTCGGATACTGATTGTTGCTGATACTATCGAAATAAATGTGTACATGCATATGTCTAATGTTTGTTAATTAATGCATGTGCGATACGATTTGCGTTTTTTTCCGTAGTCATTTTAAAGTATCCAATCAATCGTTATTTGGAAACAATCTACCCCTGATGATTACACCTCAATTGAAAATACATTTATCAATTGAAAATATATTTATTAGTGCATGATGATAAGAAGCTTTTTTAGCCACGGTTAATGTAAACAACCAGAGTCTGGTATATATCTAGTAAAACAAGTTAAATTAAGAACGTGACATCAAAAATAAATAAACAAACATTTTGTAAACTGGTAATCAGGGTTTACTTGCTTTATGGTGCATAAACAATTAATTTCCAGTGACATAGATCTGTACAGTTAGTTTGTTAGGCGTATTTGGATAAAACCTATTTTTCTTGAATCTTAATAGTAATAGTAATAGTGATAGCCGTAACTTTTGTGGATATAGATGTCTTTTTCATGTGGAACAAGGGGATAGAAAAGGTGAATAATTATTCTGAATTTTTTTGTTCAAGATTGTTTTAGATGGTTTTGTGATTGCTTATTCACGTTTTTTTACCTGTTTTTTCTGTGTTGTTATTTATATTTCGATAGCCATAGCCCCCCCTTTAAAAAAAAAAAAACTTGTAATTTTCAATGCAGGGCTCTAACCAAATGAAAATTTCATTCTATACAAGTTACGGAGTGTCGCAAATATTTTCTCGTCACACGTTCTATTATCCACACGTATAAACGCACATGCCATTAATATGAGAATTTTTCCTGTTTTTGTTACAGGTAAGAAATTTTCAGGTTCCATTGGTCAATCCCGAAATGGTATGGAAAATAATTTGGATTATGAGTCACGTTCGATTCAATTTTCGTTGAACTACGCATCTCCAGTTTACTATTTCACGCGGTATGCTATCGGTCCGATCATTTTAACATGGATAATTTGATTTTGAAACGATTAATTGATCCGATTATGATAACGTGGATATTGATTTGAAACGATTGAAGCAATCAATCGTTGCTTACAATATTCCTTTAACGAGTTCGTTTTACTTATTATTATCGATTGAAACGCGATTATTCAGATAATAATTCGTATATTTGAAAGAAAAATACAATATTTACAAATGTGAAGATTTTCGGTTCTGTGGCGTTGTACTAGTGGTAGGAATAAAGAAAAAAAAAAGTGTTCGTCCGAAAATAAATTTATTATACAAAAAAATGTTTGTTGAATTTATTCGAGAAATTAAAAGAATAAAATTTACTATACAAAAAAATGTTTGTGTTTGTTGTAGAAACTAAAAGAAAGAAATTTGTACAAAGAAGAAAAATTTTATATTTTACAAATAAATCATGGTCCTCGCCAAAACATGACTTTTTTCTTGAAAGAACTCGACAACCCGTCACTCTCATTCTCGTCCTCTTCTTGTATCGAAATGACATTAACTACGTGATCAGTGCCAGAACCATCAGTGTTTCTCAAGACGATATTTCTTCCTCTCTCGCCAAGATTCAAGGTAACCCGTCGTGTCATTGGTTCGATCTGTAGCGTGGAGACTTGATAACGAGGACTAGAGAGTGATCCTGATCCGCGTGTCGAAAATGAATCGATTGTGGATAGAGGAGACGGGGGTGACGGTAACGGCTGTGGTGGTGGAAGAGGTGTTGGAGAAGGAGTAGATGTTGGTTGTTGATTTTGATAAGATTCTGACATTCCTGTTTCTGGTGCTGAGATTCCTCCTTCCGCGACAGATATTGCAGATGATAGTAATTGTTGTCGGTGTTTTTTTCGCCGAATTCGAACATATACGGCGAGAAGAGCTCCAAGAAATATTATAAATATAATTGCTAATGCTACTCCGGTTGTTAATCGCTGACCCGATGGAATTATTTGCTGCGCATTATTTGTTGAATTTGATGTTGGTGTATTTTCTGTAGATTGAATTGATGTTGGTGATGAGGTTGATAATGTAGACGGAAGAAATGTCGATCCTAATTTTATAATTAAAATTAATAAAACTTAGATTTGTGATAAACTTCTATTTATAAGTATAGAATAAATGCTAACCTGAAAAGACGTTCAAAGTTGCTTGTGACGGTAATGGTGATGATATTGGTGATGATAATGATGGATCAGATTCAAAGGGCACACTATTGGCTAATGGTGGTGTGATTGTACTTGTCCAAGGATTTGTGGTGGTTGTAATATTATGATCAGAGCGAGGAATAGAAGTGGTGTTAGTGGAATTAGTCGGATTTTCGTTCGCCAATTTATTATGGTTTTTATTGTTCATTTTTTTGCGAATTATTTATGAAATTTGAAGACAACATATGAATAGATTTTTTTCTGCTATTATTTATTGATTACGAGTTAATAATTCATTCGTGTGAAAATTATTTCTGTATTTAATAAAAAATAACAGAAAAGTGCAAAAGAGTAAAAGAACAAAATTCTGTTGGTTTTTTTATAGATCTTTTGTATCGGTATGTCTTTATATATATATATATATATATATGTGCGTGTGTGTGTATATGTGTGTGTGTATATATATGTATGTATATATATATATATATGTATATGTATATGTATTTATGTATATATGTATATATGCGTTATTTTTTGTGCATTGCACACTTGTTTTTTATAACGATTCACACAACTACAGCGGTTTTATAGAGGCGGAAATGAACGGCTGATCACGAGGCGTGAGTCAAACAGAGACAAGCATGACTATTGTAGAATAGTGAGGTACACAATAATTCCCTTACTTTGTCAAACATGACATGAATCTTTACACTAAGTTATTTATATTGAATGCTTCCAACTCCGTACAATCAATTTTTTATGCATAATGGACACTTTTTATTTATATTGTGCCAATGTATACAGTATATATTCAGTTTGTTACATCTTGTTATTTGAAACTATCTCGGCTTTTTCTAGGTTGCGAAGAAGTGTGAACTAAGAGAAGCAAACAAAGTTTTATTTGTCATATCTTATTCCTTTATTTAACAGAATTGTGTGCGGGTATGTATGGTTTGAAGTTCAAAAGTATAAACAGTGGCGTCAAATGATTGTTATTTGAATGACTAGGTCTTTTCCTAGATTTTTGTACAACATTCTCGGATAATAATAGGTTTCTTTATCATAGTACGTACTTAAATTTGGATTTATTATGGAAGTTTGAAAAGTTATATTATAAAATAGTCAATTACTATGACAACAATATTTCATACTACGTCTCTATCTCTGCATGTGTTAGAAGTTGGCTCCCCTGTAATGATAATGATAGTTATTATGAATACACGCATTTATAAATAATAAACCAATTGCAATGTTCATTTGGGACCTATGACTTGTAAATAAATCACCTTTGTTCCCTCCGCTTTTGGTTTTTCCCATTTTGAGAAAAGGAATTTCTGTTGTCTCCATACTGGTGTATGATCATTACGTAGAATAGACAGATAGGTGATAGCGTATAAATTAAAAAAAAAGAAACATACAAATGAGAAATGGTTTAAAAAAAGACGTTAACAAATTCCTAATTTTAGTTCATCATACAAATTATTATTATGTAAGCATCATATTTTTGACTCGGGAATTATCGTGGCGCTAGTAACCAAACGCACATGAAATGCATCAATCTGCCAACGTTTCATTATCTATCATGACCGACAACCGCATTTACTGTATATCGAATATGCGTGTGCGCGTTATGCAAGTAATGTTTCGACAATTTATTTTTGTATTAGTTATATATGCCAAGTAAGGTTAATTAATTAATTAATCGAGGCCTGTTTATTGTCGTTGTTATTTTATTTTACTATTATTCTTATGTTTATTCAATTTCTGGAATCTAATTCTTTATTAGCATGCATCGATTGGCTTTTTATAGTCAAGAAATATTCTATCGATTTGTATGCATTTCATCCTTGACATTTATCTATTGTTTTGCTAGGCGAAAAAATAAAATGAATTTGAATTTTGTAAAATTACATGTATTCCGATTACAAATTTAATCGAATTTAATAACAAATTGTCAGTAATAAGAAATTAAAAATCGCGGCATGGAATTTCTTGGTTCTAGTAGTCAACAAGAATCGTTTATTCGACCTCGGCTCATTCATCTTGTATTCAGCTATGAAAAACTAACAAGTTGTTTTATTGTTCGTTGGATGAAGTAGCTGCCTCGATTTATATCTTAAGGTATCTTTTGTTATTTTTACGATTGTTATTGAATTTAATATTCTCCTTGTACAATAAGTACAATAACAAAACTAAAAAGGTAAAACAATCATTGCCAGCCATATAATCAGAGGAGCCTTATTAGGTGTGAATAAATTTCTAAATTTAATTGAACTGGTGGCTGTTTTAAATCATAGTACTTTGAACAACAAAATATTATAAGGTTTTCTCGGAAGATACAAACGTGCTAATGAAAGTATACGTTTGTTGGCGGGCAATCGACAAGGTTGTTCAAAGACTTATCCACCCGACTATTATGTTGACATGATTTTTTCCTTCTTTTCTATTTTTCTCGTATTTGTAATTGAGAGGGTTGTTTTCGCACAATTCGCCAAAAATGCTTTGGTACATACAATAGACAATAACGAATTCGCGTTGCGAACGTCATCGGTCAATTTACAAAGCGGAAATTAGGCGTCAATTGAAGGACTTTTTTATTATTCTATGCATGAATGCTTTTTTCTTGTTGGATGGATTTATTGAGCGTGGTTGTTACTATTTTTGTAAGCAAGTATGCATTAGCGGCAAAAGAACGCGCAAGTCAAATTCTTGATTGTTGATATAGTAAAAACCAAAATTGGCGATTTTAGGTTTTTCAATGATGTGAAGAAAAATTAAACACCACCCATGCATTTAAAGTGGCGTAGACCGATTGGTTATAGTATGGGGCATAGGCTGTCTCGTGACTGCCGACCCATTGAGGTATCTAATTTATGCACGTGATTATTGAATAAATGAGATAATTTTAAATAAATAAAATAGTCAAGTAGTGAACATATCTAATTAAAAATTAAATTACGGTGAAAAGCGTCACAAGACAAAAACAAATTTTGATACCAAGTATGTATGTATGTATATCATGTGTAAAAGAAAAGTTTATTTTTTAAATTAAAAATTAACATATAGCTCTATACAAACAAACACTTAACGATACTATGTAATAAAAGTCTGTTGTACAACGAATTTAATTTTGGTAAATGTAAATTAAAAATTTCTTTCTACACTTACCTAATAAAGCATTTTAGAAGTGATTTTTTGATATCAGGTTCATTGTTTAGCTTATAAAAGAACATCTTCTCAGAAGAAGTCATTGCTAATAAAATACGCTTTTATTGGCGGGCAATCGACTAGGGTTATCTCCTGCACTTTCACTCGACTATTATGTTAGCATAATAATAGCTTATTTTCCCTTCTTTTCCATTTTTTCTCGTATTTGTAATCTATAGCGTTGTTTTTCGCTAGTACAATTCGCCAAAAATGCTTCAATACATACAATAATGAGTTCGTTTTGCGAATGTCATCTGTAGGGAATCGCGCAATTCGTAAAGCAGAAAATAGGAGTCGATCGAAGAACTTTTTTATTCTTCTATTCTCGAATACTTTTTTCTTGTTGGATGAATTTATCGAACTATTTTTGTAACGGTAGGCGTATAATTCGAAAATTATTTTCTATATACGTAATAATAAACCCAAATTAGCGATTCTAGGTTTTTCAATATTTAGTTAAGAAATTATTTTCGGATGTTGAAAATCCCCGAACAAAAATTAAACATCAGCCACCCATGTACTTAAAGTGGCAATATGCATGCACACATTTCCGATCGCTCATACATGCGTAACGTAAGAATAACGATAATGCAGTGAAATATTTTTGGACCACATCGATTGACATTCGATAATGCAAGAATTTAGTGTATTAGTATACATGTTCAGTGCTCGCCATATAATGAGAAAAATACGCCGTTTTTTATTTTGCATTACAAAAATTGTTTGAAAATATATAAAAATATAATTTAATATATTACAAACAAGTTTTCTTGAGACTACTTAATAACATATCTTATTTCTATTATTCTCAAATATTTATTTTTAATTTGATAGAATACTATAAATTTCTTTTTTGGCCTCTTTTAATACTTTAAGCTACTAAGTTTTCTTAAAAAACTTGTTCGTGATATATCAAAGTATATATATTTAAATTTTTATACGTTTTCGATCAACTTTCATGATGTAATAAAAAAACTACCATTGACTTAGTTTCATTTATAGTGTACTATCAGGGATTCGATCAGATAAAGGAAGTAATTACGATAAGATATTCTATAAAGAACTCTTAAATAAACTTGATCGCAATATATGAAACCGTATATCTGCAAATTTTCATAGATTTTTGCTTTTTTTTCATAACACAATAAGGAAAAACAGTATTCTCATTATATATGACGAGCACTGTATATACTGTGGTTATCTCCTTAAATCTTAGAGACTACTCTTATTAATTCTATAGGCTCGTCGCGATTATAACAAGTATGGCAGATTAAACCGAAATCAGATCAAAATGAAGTCTGGTGACTTTTTTGAATAATAATTTGGGTGAAAATTATAGAAAAGGGTCAAGTATAGATTCGGTGTATATAGTATTAGATTTTGTCATTGATTATTTATATACCTACTAGATTTCCTTTTAATCGGCCACAATAAGTATCGATCGATGCACATTCCATAATTTCGAGTGGTCGGTATCTCCTTAATTCTATAGGATCATGACTTTACATTAGATAATGCATTTGGTCATTTGTACATGCATTTTTGGCACTAGAAAGTCATGTTACAATGAAAAATGCACCAGTCCATAAACATACGTGTTTATTATGCACTAAAAGATGATAACTGGAATAGAACATTTTGACATAATCAAATGCAAAAATGGACTAACAATACCGGTGATGGCGTCTATAGGGAGGTGTGCTTATATAGGGGGTTTTTATTTAATGGTCACATATTGAGCAGCCCAGACTTTAAGCGAATAATTGTACTGGAAGTGATAATAGAGAGGGTTATGTAGTTCGTAAAAAAATTTATCATACAAATTCATAAAAATGCTTTGATTTTAAGGAGTTTTTAAGTTGATTAAAAAGCTATCAATTAATTCAAGTAAATTCAAACCTCTTCGTATATATGGTGCATAACATCTAAAGTCATCAAACGTTTGTATTTTACAAAATGTATAAACTTCTTTACAAAGAAGTAAATGCAAAATTTAATCCGTGAATATGATAGAATAGGTCCTTTCTGAGCATATTCACGGATTAAATTTTGTATTTACTTCTTAGTAAAGATGTTTATACATTTTATAAAACACAAACGTTTGATGACTTTAGATGTTATGCACCATACATGTCATAAGTTGGAATAGAATCAACCTAGATTAATTCATAATTTGTTAATACTAGGGTTAGGATTATGGTTGGGTTAGGATTAGAGTTAGGGTAGTTTAAAATCCTTAATTTGATATCTAATTCCAAATCAACCTAGGCTGATTCCGAATCAACACAGATTCTATTCCAACTTATGACATACACATTTAAAATATTAAGATTTGGTCGGAAATCTACGAAAATATCGTGTCGCGACTATGTCTATAATTTTTATCGAAAAATTATTTTTTTTTGTCGTCGGATAAATCGATTAATAAATCAACAATCCATCAATAGCCTGTCAGCATTGTTAGTACGCGACGATTGATTATAAATAAAATCCTTTTTAGCACACACTATGTATCGGTATAGAGATATGGTTCTTTTAATAATATAAACCATTATTTTCGCTCGACAATTCAGCTTTATAATTAATTTACTACAATAATTTTAGTGTTATATTTCTACGCCTCTTTTAAACGTCTTTTTATCACTTACACTCTGGCAGCATCAAGAGAAAAAAACCTACCTCCTAAACTCTATTGGAATGCTCGCGTTGCAGCCTGGTCACAAAGGTATGTTTTGCTCGATTATTGTTTTAATAATTGCTAACTATTCTCTTCCTAGATTGTGGCTGCCGAACAAGAGTGACTCAAGTTTCAACGACCTCAAGTTCATCCTGGTACACGCAAGTGACAACCCATCTCCATTCAATCACACCACCAGCAATCAGCGCACGTGCCGATTGCAATAGTAAACGACAAGAAATGAACGAAGAATGAACAGGCACCGAGCACAACACAAAGAAGCGCAAGGTCGGCGCGATGCTGGCTCACGCTCGAAAAAAGCCGAAGATGGAGGGATTAATGAGAAGCCTGAAGGTGCGGGTGTATCCAAATGCAAAGCAGAAGGACCTAATGAAGAGATGGATGGGGTATGCCAGGTAAAACAATCTTCTTATAGTTCTTTCTTTTATTACTTTAAAAACAATGTGCATCTTACACTTTACAGGCTTCAATATGGTTATTGAGGCAGCTCACAATAAAGATAATTTTGCTAGCCTAACTCACTTCCGCGACCTTTGTCAGCAACGGATTGATGTCACCTGGGTTTTTATGACAAAGGTTCTATACAATGTGTTGGATGAAGCAATAAAGGAGGCAATCCAATCTCGAGATCTTGTTCTTTCAAAGAATCAGGAGACACGAGCGGCAGGGCAGCAACCATATCACCAGACCATCACGATTCGCAAGCAGAACTGTGTGGATAACCTCAGGTTCTATCCTCGCATCTTGTCACAAGTAATGATTCTCTGCACCCTCGCCACAAGAATCTAGCCACCCATCCGCCTCTGCATCATGAGCATCGTAAGAGACACTACTGGCCGAACTTAGAAGGACGAGTCAATAATGATTCCAAACTTATGTGGGATTAACATAAACAGCAGTGGACATTCATTTGGGTTTATGAGAACCTCCCACGAGAATCAAGTGAGAGGTCTTCACATCTGTTCTCTAGGTCCAGGTGTCCGCACATTTATGACTTGGTGAGTAATGGTCAAATCTTGACTTCATACCATTTGAAAAATAGCTAATTGACATTTATTTATTTTTTAGGTATTCACCCATGTGGTGATGTTCAAAGACTTGTACGCCTTTATTTCAATCTCGATAACATCATTTCCAGGATGACCCAAGCTTCTGCTCGAAAACGGAATTCTATGCGTTGGGCCCAAGCACGCATTCGACAACGTATTCGCGATCTCATTGATGAATGTCATCATAAGACCATATTGTGGCTCGTACGTACCTTTGATATAATGGTGGCCATATGACTCGTCGACGGCATCGTAAGGTCAACAGCAAGGTTATACGTAAAATGATGTTGTGGTGGTTAATGAGGCATATACGAACAAGACATGTAGCAATTGTGGGTGGATACATCAGAGGTTAGGGGGACGAAAGATATTTAGATGTGGAGGGTGCGGATTGGAGATAGATATCAATGGCACCCAAGGGATCTTCCTTCGGATGAGACTATCCTATTATAGAGTATAGGTTGGATGATGTGGCTGTCTATCATTGTCTGATTGAAGCCATCTGGCATTTTCATTATAACCACGACCCAAGGCATTTGTGAAACATTTATAGATGATATAGTTATTTGTTCGCTATGGTGGTGTTGTAATTTTAATTTTTTATTTCTCAAGTACGTACGTAGATATATGTCTTTTTAATATAGCAGAAATGCCGTTACGATAATCCTTAAGTACTGGTGACTTGATGATTGTTCTTGTACTAATAGTGAGCTAAACCTTGGAATCGGGTAAAAAATGAAAAGCCATTTCTTAGTAATTATCTGTATGATTGGTTTCCTTTTTATTATTTCATTTGTGCTCACTTTCTGGACATTGTCTCGTTAGTTTTATTAATAAACAGCCGAAACTAATTCAATCCATGATATAGAAATGATATTTATTAAAGTTTTTAGTGTGCCGCTCTCGTCGCGCTCAAATTTTTAATTTTTATTTGGCCTGTTGCCTTAAAGTTATCTCTAATCATATTTATTTATAGTCACATCATCACCTAAATTATTAAATAGCTATACTTTTTATAGTCATATTTCTCCATTTGACTTTCTCAAAAAAGCGGTTTAACTGTAGACAAAGAATCAAATTGTTTTTTAATCTTGTAATATAAATCAAATACTCGAATTGAAAATTGGTTTTCAAAACATTCTTGATCTAATTATAGAATTTATCTTGTTGAAATTATTCATAGATATTTACTGATTCTATTTCATCTTTATTAAATTGATTTTGAAATTGTTGTGGAATTTAAATGATTATTAGTGTTTCCATGCAAAGGTTCTTCGGTGTTATTTTCTACTTGACTGTCAGCTTCGCAAATTTTAGTGATCTGCTGTTTGCGAAAATCGTAAATAAAATGATATATAAAGTAAATTTTCTAGAATCTACAGATCTCCCAAATCAATGACGTATGTGCAATAGCGATAGAAAAAAACTGAATTCATTTCAATTGTTCACGATAAAACATGTCTTTACCCAAAGAGCCAACAACAATTACATACCGCCTCGAGAAATTCTCGCGCTGGCCTTCTCCATATCGGAGCGTAGACTCAAATAACACCACTACAATCAGCATTAATCATAGTAGTAGCAGCATTAATGCTAATAATGACCAAACCGCACTTCCTTGGTTCCATTATTGCCAACCTAACATTATGCTAAAGCTAGAAAATATGTATCCTCCTAATGTGTTAGGAGGTGGCGGGGAGCCGATTTTCACGGTTTATGATGACAGGGGAAGCATTCTGGTATTTCAATACATATCCGTTCATTGTTTATCAGTTTAAGAAGAATGATTAAGATTTTGCCCGGTTAATTATTGAATTGACACGACCCTACTTTTTTTTCTATTTACAAGGAACAATTTAACGCATCGTATAAATACGCTGCTACCACTAAAGCCAAAATGGGATTAAGAAGTCCAATTATAGGAATAAAATATTCCGAAACTGAAGTTGATGGGATTGGTCGCACCACTGTACAGAATATATATATATCTTTATTTGTTTAATCAGTATATTTAGCTTTTTTTATTAATGAATTTGATTTTAATTTAACTTTAGGAAAAAATCATAAAAATTCAAATAAGGTTTCGGAATGCCGAAGATTACGAATTATGCTCGTCTATATTCGGAAGATACATTACAAAAAAAGATGCATTGACCACGACTGCTGCGACAGCTGGATCCTCAATTTCTGCTGCTGGTGCTCAAGTCATAACACAAAACCAACAGCTGCTACAACAACAGCAACAACTACAGCCACCAGTATCGCAGAATTCGAATGAAATACAAATGAGTGCTCACGGTAACAATACTATTAATAATAGTTATAGTCAGGCTTTTAGTTCAAGTGGTAGCAGTAGTGCAATCAATCAAAGTATTCAACACCAGGAATTTTTGCAGCAGCAACAGATGCCTTTTAGTGAGCATCGGCCAGTCTTGTCTATTATCAACAACAACAACAATAACAGTATTATCAATAATAATCATATTAATAATAATAATAATAATAACAATAGCAATCAAGTGCCATCACGGGCTCAACCAACTCGGGCTCCTTTAATATGTGTCCCGTCATACGAATTGGCAAAACATACCAATCATAATATAAATAATCAATTCAACAATTCTCGAGAGAGCAGCATCAGTGGCAATCACCATCAAAATATTCAACTATCACTTTCAAAACAACAAAATACAGTATCCTTTGTTAGCAACAATAATGACAATAATCTTAGCAACAATAAAACCAACTCGATTCAGTCATCGAATCAATCCAATATTTTGCAGCAACAATACCAAGATCGCGGTTCTAACGTGCTACAACCACCACCTCCACTATTTTCAGCTTCTACATCTTCATTGTCATTATCATCATCATCATTATCATCATCATCACCTCAGCAACATAATCTGAATAATAATGATAAACAAACATATCCAACGAATATTAGCCGTCAGGATAACTTCGACCCATCTTCTTTGCATACGAAGGGCACGCAATTCGATCCTGCATTCAATCCTCAGCTACAGCCGCAACAAAATTATCAACTTTCATCATCGCAATCCTTTCCGCAGCAGCAACAATCAACACCATCCAATAACAATAATAATTTTTATCAACCACAAAATCAGAATACATATCCGACGGTAATTTCTGTTACTTCACCAAGTAATAATAATAATAATAATAATAATAATAATAATAATCGGGTGCAAACAAATACGATATCGGAAAAATCCAATAGTTTTACTTTTAGTAACTCAAGTGCATCAGCAAATGATAATAACGGCAATATTACCTGGTCTTCACAACCACCTAATCATCAAACATCGCAATCAAATCCATCAACTCCAACAAGGTCAACACGAGTGTTTTCTCAAAATGTTACGCCTCAGCGACAACAGAGATCAATTGCCTCTGATGTTTCACCAGACGTTAGTATTGTTAATAACCAGAACGATAACAATAATAATCATCGTCAAGAATCCTCGGGTAATAATTCTAATACTATCGAATCGCAACAGAAAACGGTTGAAGTGGTTTCTCTCTTATCTCCGTCGCCGGCAGTTGCTAGCATCAAAAAAGAACAGAGAGAATTGAGTTTGGTGGATTTGACAATAGACGACGAGGTCTCACCCGACGACTTGTTTAATAATAATAATTACCAAACACAGCAACAGCAGAAAACGCAAGAATATCAAATGAAATCGAGTAATGAAATTCCTCTTGCTCCAAATTTAATTTCCACGGAATCATCTCCATCGTGTCCTCCTCCTCCTACTACTCCAATATTCGCTCAGGAACTAGAAAATAATAATTACGCAACAGAAAAACGACAATACCCAATTTCATATCCTGACAAGAAATTTTCGCCAGATCGTCAGAAATTATTTGCCCAAAATCCTCGATCCCCAGAACCACAGCCACAACTAAAAGCAAAACAACCTCAAACAGATGTATTTTTTATAGATGCAGAAGACGAACAACGAAATTTTCCATTTCCAGCCAGTACATCAGATATGAGTAACATTACGTCTTCATTTCATCATCAGCATCCAGCAAGACAATTGAACATTGCATCGTCTAGTTCACATGCCGCTGCTGCGGATTCAACAATTGGATCGCTGCGTAAACAAGACATATCCTCGCGATTTGCGACAATTCAGGAACGACAACAAATAATACCTAATAATAATAATCCTATCCCAGATGACGATGATACACTTGAAGAATGGCTTGTAAACATATTAAAAGATCCTGAATTCTCGGATTTGGTAAATTTATTTTCTTGTGAATTGGTTAGCAATGAAAAAATATTAAAATAAAATTCTTAAAAAATTTAGGTTTCAAGGGTTGACAAGTTCTGGAAGGCACGTTTCATGGTAGATGATATGTTAACAAAATAATTGATTCAATAGAGTAAAATTAAATCAAAAGAGTAAGAAAAAGTTCCATTTTCATTCTCTGTGAATACATGATTACTTCCTTCGGAAAGTTTTAAACTTAATTTCCTCAGTATAAGTTCGAATAAATGTAATATTTCTTTGAATAGTTGTTGTAACAAACATACATTATTAGTTAAAAAAATTGTCTGTCCTCTGTTCATATTACACATATTTATGCGAGCGGCAACATCAATTATGCCGACGATGTTTCCGAAGGAGCATTCACTTCCAAAATCACCAACTCCACTCGCTCCAAAATCAGTCTGCTAACACCTTGTGCAAGTTTATACATGCCCCAAACAGCCTTAATGATCCCCACCAGAAGAACGACAGTTACGACCAAAACAGTAAAACTATCTCCTCTCCCACCTCCACTCACACCTCCACTCCCTCCGCCACTAGGAAATCGTATATTCAACGACGGAAAAGGGCCCAGCCACAACAACGAAAACAAAATCTGCAAGAATCCTATCGTACCCACAAACACGAATCCAGATATCAGATGATTATAATCAACTGTGAAGATCTTTACGAGTGTCATCGGTTCTATTGGTATTTCTTCGTCAAGGGTATTGTCATATAGGATTACGGGACTGAATCCGTTAAAGTATAAGAAAAATTTTGCGATGAATCCGCCGAGGAATACGCAGCATGAAAACAATGTTAATGTGACTATTGTTAGAACAACTAAATGGAATAAATGAATAGTTAGAATATGATTTTTACAATTTGTCGTCGAAATTTGGGATGTACGTACATTCATTAGTCGCATATTTTGCTATTGTGGTTCTTCGAAACGCATATTGATATTTACACTCATCACACTGAAAGAAACTCGTTTTCTTTTGACTTCGTAATCGCCATCGATTTAAGCATTCAACATGCACATGCTAAAAATTACGAATCAAATAATTAATGACTAGACCATCTTTATACAAGCCATAAAGGTAAAATTCGGCTTACTCGAATAGTGCCTTTACATAAACACGGAGAAATAAGACGCCCCAACGTATCTTCATCCTCTGTCCCACCGAAACATATACGACACATTTTGTCATTGCTATTGCTATTATTATTACTATAGCTATTACCATCACTACTACTACTACTACTACTATTATTACCACTTTCTGTTGTTATTTGAGTAGCAGTTGTCATTGTCTCCGTCGTCGTCATTATTGCTGGATCTGTGTCTGTTTCATTTGCCAGTGCTTTAACTTTCTCTTCTACACTTTGTCGACTCTTTTCTTGATTAGAACTAGAATCCTCAAGTTTCAAGTTATTATCAGAAATTGTTGTACACTCTGATTTTGCGAGATCTGTTTGCTCATCTTCAGATTCATTTCGTCCAGGTAATTTGAAAGCGCTTGATTTGCCATACACAGAATTTTCATTTTGTGAATTTACGTCACGTCTTGGTATAGCAGTAGAACTCATGATAGATCTTTCTTATACGTATGTTAAAGTCGAGATTTTGAACTGTTGATTTCACTAGGATACTCTTTTGACTATGATAAACGATACTCCTTTGACTAATGATAAATGAAACTCCTCTGACTAATGATAAATGATACTCCTTTTGACTAATGACAAAATGATACTTCTTTGACTAATAATAAAATGATATTCCTAACGCTAAACGCTAATGTAAAATTTAATTGAATTCTTTAACTCTTAAAACCTTTCACATGATACGTATGATACACACAATTCACGTTTACGCCAGAAATTTTTCATACTGATATTGTATTCGTTGCATGGGACCTGCATCAAGTTTGGACACAAATAGATTTGTTAGATCCGGGTACTTCTTTATTTTAACCTGAACCAATAATCATACATACTTGAAACTCGCTTTTTGCGATAAAACCTTTGATCTGAATTTCATAGAAACTATCTACCTACACAAAACTTCCTGTTCAACTCTATTTATTTTCTAGAATATCATCAACAACAACAAACTTTAATATACTCGAATACTGTCAAACTTTTGAGTCGTTCAGAACAACCATAGAGAGTTTTCGTCGTGAAAGTACAAGTTGTACTCGAGAAATTTAGTCTTAAACTGCCGAATAATTATACTACCATTCAAACTTTTAAATGATTGATTCGACAAGTAGTCAAAGGACACAGACAATAATGCCAAAACCCGACCCGGCAACACGGGCATGGAAGGAAAGATTAACCGCACCAGCAATTAAACATTTGCTGGCTGGTGGTGTTGCTGGTGCGGTAAGTAGAACAGTAGTCAGTCCTCTGGAAAGGATGAAGATCTTATTTCAGGTATATGTTTGGTTTTTGAAGTTTTCTTGACCTTTCTTCTTAACCTTTGTATGTAATCTTGTCCGATTATGTTATTATGCGAATTACTATTGAGTATCTAACCAACACAAATTTATCTCTAACTAATTAATAAATGACAAAAAAAAGGTACAAGGACCTCAACCAGCGTCATATCAAGGAATATTCCCAACACTAGCGAAAATGTGGCGAGAAGAAGGAATGGTTGGGCTTTTGCGGGGTAACGGGACAAACGTGATACGTATTGTGCCATACAGTGCGACACAATTCGCCGCATATGAAAAATATAAACGCGTATGTATTTGAATTTTCCACTGAACTAATAATTTAATGGATCGAACGAATAGGTTTGTGGCTGATTTATCTGATTAGATGTGGTCGATTTCTCTCGTTTTTTTTTATTTTGGGTAATATTATTAGTTACTTTTGGAAGAAGGAAAGGAAGAACTGGACGCGAAACGTCGCTTAACAGCTGGCGCATTGGCTGGTGTCACTTCTGTGTCGTGTACGTATCCGCTTGATATTGTGAGGACAAGATTATCGGTTCAGTCGGCTAGCATCGGTAGTTCCGGGACTCCGAAAAAACTACCTGGTATATTTCTAACGATGAAACTCATCTATAAAACTGAAGGCGGGATTTATGCATTATATCGTGGATTATCACCTACTCTGATGGTACTTTTTAAAATTACGCGATCAGACAAAGAAATGCCGTTTCATCGTAACACAAATAATTTATATAATCTACTTATTGTTAGGGAGTTGCCCCGTACGTTGCACTAAATTTCCATTCATACGAAGTGCTACGGAAATTTTTTACACCAGAGAACAAAAGTTCACCCTCAGTATCCCATAAGCTGTTATGTGGTGCACTAGCCGGAACTTTTGCACAAACGATCACGTATCCACTAGACGTATTGCGTCGACGTATGCAAGTTACTGGGATGAAGGCCGTCGGATATCACTATAAAAGCACATGGGATGCACTTACACAGGTCATCAATCAGGAAGGAATACGGGGACTATATAAAGGAATGATACCAAATTATCTAAAAGTGGCACCGGCAATCAGCGTCAGTTTCGTAACGTACGAGGCATGTAAAGATTTCTTGGGGGTCTCGTAACAATTAATATTGATCAAAAAAGACACGAATATGGATTACGTGAAAACATTGGAGTAATATAAATATTTTTTATATACACTTGGAATACTGACGAATGGATGATGTAATTAATATCGGGTGTTGATACGTTGCTGGTGGAATTTAATAATGAGTGTAATTAATTATTTGTGTTGTGAATTAATATTATTATTACTACTATTAATAATAATAATAATAATAATAATAGTAGTAGTAATAGTAAGCTCAACAATGATAATAATTATTGTTGTTGTTGTTGTTGATCTAATGGGATAGTTAACGAACTATTTTTTTCTCATATTAATATTAACTCTGAAAAATAGAACGTAGTTAGTATCTATATTTTTTATAAAAAAAAAAAAAAACACGATGCTAATTACCACAACTCACTACTGATGTTATTATTATTTGTAAATAAAAAATTTTGTTGATATAGATAGAGTCCCTCGCCTGGCACACTTAGGCGAATAATATAATTTTTATGTTTCAAGTGACCTTTTTGAATATAATCGAATGTTAGGTTGGATTTTTTATTTCGGTAAATTTTCCGGTTAAAGATTAATTGTCTCCCCGGCAAAATAGACCACAGATAATGTATTTCTATTTATGGTTCTTTGAACTCGAAGGAGCGAATTAAAAATAAACCTACCACCTTACCTAATCAGATGAATCTCTAATCAGGTGAAACCAAAAAAAAACATAAATACTCCTTCCCCCTTTTCCTAACCCTATTTTATAAGCTCCACAAATGGCGCAATCATCAATCGAAGGTCAACCATTAACCGCGCTATCCCTAACACATGTAGAATTCAACCCATCCGATAAAATCGCATACACATTCGCCTACATCACATTAGCACCGATATTCATCGTTGTGTCCTACGTGACCACAATTTTGGCGAGACGTGAGGTAGCAACGATTAATATGTTTATTGGGCAGATTGTTTGTGAGGCACTGAATGCCGTGTTAAAGTCTGTGATGAAGGAGAAGAGACCTACTGGTATTTTTTTCGATTTTGTTCGAGTATGTTTCCAAATAAATACTAGATTTTGTATTGTATGTTATTAATAGACAAATTAGGTAAGGGGTATGGTATGCCGTCTAGTCACGCGCAATTTATCGGATTCTTTGCCACGTTTTCTGTAATTTATTTATATCGAAGGTAAGAATTTTCTTGCATAGTATCCAACGTTATAGAAAAATTTCATCTTTTTTATAAAATAAATTAGAATTAGATTCCAACAGAATGCTTGGAAGCATCCTATAGCATTGGGGTTACTAGGATTCGCGGGTGCCGTTTCCTACTCCAGGTAAAAATAGAACTTGATTCTTCATTTCATAATTATTGTCGATTGAAATTCTCTCTTTCTCCGTATTGGTAAAAAAAAAGAATATACCTAAACTACCACACCCCAAACCAAGTACTCGTCGGCATTACATTCGGCACTTCATTCGCCACCGCGTGGTACTTTTTCATAGAACACATACTTCGACCACGACAAATATTCGAGATAATTGTTGATTCACCGATCGCAACGTTTTTTTATTTGCGAGATTCGGCAAATGTACAAGATGTTGTACAGTTTGAGTATTTGAATTGGGTTGCGTTAAAGAAATCAGGTGAAAAGGATGGAATGAAGAGTGATTGATCTTTTGGTCTGCGTGTATGCGCGCTAAATAAATAAATAATAGATATGATATGTGTGTGTAGCAACTAACTTTGTGGCTCTAGCACTAGCACCAAATCAAACCATTTTTCGCTCCCTTTGCAAAAATTTTTTAGACAAATTCTTACTTATTATTAGTAAAAAATCAAAGTGAATCAAAAATCCGACTTACCATGTCGAACATCACTTTCACCTTTCAAAACAAATCCATTCTTTTGATAAAACTCCAACAAATACTTGTGACTTATCAATGCTATCCTCGCGTACCCCAACTTTCGACAATGCTCAGCAAAATGCCGTAACAACGCGGACGCAACACCTTTACGACGAAATAGGGTCTCAACACACACCGAATGTATGCACACAGTTTGTCCGTCAGGTTCATGGTGCCAGGCCATTGATGCCTCGGTTAGTGAGGGTGCTGTTGTTAGGGTGGCTACTACGAATCCAATCATTTTTTGTTGAGAGTTGTCGGGGTTGGCTGGTAAATATGCGCCCCAGAATAGTTCGGGGGCTACTTTTTTTCGGAAGAGGAGTTTTTCGAGGGATGCTGCTTCGTCGGGTGGATAGCCTATTAATAATTGGTGTTGTTAAGTTGAAAGAGAACTCATCAGTGGAAAGAGAACTCCAGTGAAAAGAATTTACGACCTTGAGTTTCTAATTCAAATGCACGAGGAACTCCATTTAACGCGTCCACTTCTTGGAATATCAAAGAATGGATTATATTGTCGATGTCAGACATTTTGTAATTATTAGTGCAAAATAGCAATCTCGATATGTAAAATCTTTGACGTTAACGGTAATTTGTGCTTCGAATTTATTTGCCATTGTATGATATCAATCTGGTTAGATCGTGTAAAAAATTTTATTTGACTAAGCGTGCATACAAATACAAATACAAATACTGTACACAAATCTGAGTCTTAAAATGAAAACAATGGATGGAAAAGATTCTCATTTTCTGTATCATATGAACATATATAGATCAACATCAATTTTGATCTTTTATTTCCTACAAGAGGTTTTCAGGCAATGACTTTACGCGGGTTCCAATGTTCTGAAACACTTGAACGCTGACCATTGCTGAGATGTTTGTAGTTCTAACATCAAAAAGACTGTCCGATAACAGTCATTAATGGAGCTGGATATCAGTACCTCGGTAATGAGTTGAAAGATATCCACCAGCAATTAGATGGCCTTGGTTCAGGGTTTCGATTTCACCGGGTCGTGCTATGATAAGAGGCCAAAGTAGTTGCTGCAAATGCGCAATATCTTCGTCGGCGGGAAGAAAAAAACTACTCTCAAAAGAGTTAAAATGTTATGCGAAAGTCCGAGTCATAAAAGCCCATAGTCTCAAAATTTATCGCAGAACGCAATTCTTCGACGTTCAGAGTGTTCGGTGTGGAACGACTACCAACGCTAAGAAGCAATCCCTCTGCAACAGAGATTTTAGAGTGGAAAAGCAAACCAAATGTTATTGCTTTACCGAGTTCGATAAAGAAGTCCTGTTTTCTTCATTCTCGTTAATTTCATCTAAATCTGTTTTGTAATCCAAAAGAAAAAATAGTAATGAATTAATAAAGTGAATAAAAAACCAAATTTTACCTTGTCACCCTAAACATTCGATATGAATTTTAATTAATTAATAATATCGATTTATATTTAAAAATGGAAAGTACTCGTGTCAGTTAGAATGGAAATTAATTTCGTAATAAAGCTTCGTTGGGTAACAACATTTATTGTTCCAGTCAAAAAAAAGGACCGCAAAATAAACTCACTCTCTCAGATCGACGAAATTCTCGATTCATTAGGAGAATCCAAATGGTTTTCCACCCTCGATCTAGCTACCCTGACATTATTATTAGAGAGTGATAAGATGTGGCAGATTATTTTCAACGAAACAAAAACGAAATCTCAATGATAAAAAACCATGGATGTAAAACCAATGATAAACGCATTGAAGGTAATTTTCAAACTTATCATCGACTAGTTCGTATACACACCCCTACAATATATTACCGGAAATTTCAAAAATAAATTTGTCACTTTGGAACCCGATATCTTGACATCCAGTGATTATTAGATTCGTATAGTCGAGACGAATCTAATGGTGATATTTTTGTTCGAATGGGATCACTGGATGTCGAGAATCGGGTTCCAAAGTGACAAATTCATTTTTGAAATTTCCGGTAATATATTGTAGGGGTGTGTATAAAAACATATACAATAAATCATGAAAACAAGATAATCGTAGCAAAAATGCAACCGCGATAGCAACATCAGCATCTAATGATCAAGAATATGAGGAACAGTAAAAACAATGAGAATAATGATAATTGTAATAGCGAGCGGGTAAAAGAAACTGAAATATATAATCAAATTCTTGTTATTGCGGATAAATCTAAGAATAATAATTGATTCGAATACCAAAAAAATTATGAAATGTGACTCCGTATTATTTCAAGATAAACAAATTTTTAACATCTGTCAAAGATGTTTTTTATTGTTATTAAACAAACACATTAAAAATTACAAGGTTCTACATAGTCTAAGCTATTAAATACAATACGAGAATAAATAGTGATAAAAAAATTAGTCTGAAGAAAGGAATGACTTATATTGTACCAATACTAGTGGCAGTATAAGTAGGTGGAGACGGTAATTTCATTGCTTTTCTACTACTAAGTCCCGGCCCAGAAATCGGTGACATTGGAGGTAAACTACTATTACTACCAATGCTGTCAAGATAACTCTGAATATCGAAATTACCAACACCAGCCCCAGTATCAATATAGTCATCGTTGTTATCGTTGTTATTGTTGTTATTGTGATGATGATGATGATGATGATGATGCTTATTATTATTATTATTATTATTATTATTATTATTATTATTATTATTATTATTATTATTATTATTATTATTATTATTATCATTATCATTATCATTATTATTATTTGCCGTAGCGGTATTAGTGGTATTAATATTATTTGCCGTAGTGGTATTAATATTATTTGCCGTAGTGGTATTAGTGGTATTAATATTATTTGCCGTAGTGGTATTAGTGTTATTAATATTACTCAACAAAACTCTGTCATCAACACTTTGTGGTGACAAGCCATGACTGCTCATCATTATTGAATCTTTGTAGCTTGGAGGCGGATGATTATGATAATAGGGCATTATCAACGAGCTATTCGTCAATTGATGATGTTGTGAATCGCTCCTTACTAGCAATCGCCCATTAATCCAAAATTGTCCCGATGAACCATTTTGATTTCGTCTTTTATTGCTACTACTAGTGTTGCTATTGCTACTGTTACCGCTACTGCTACTACTACTGCTAATATTACTACTAATATTAACGACACTACTTGCTGAAAGTTCTTTTAATATATCCGATGCGCCATTTAAAGTCATATTAGGATTGTTTTTATTGTTGATACTCGATAAACTTAAACTCGCTGTCTCTTGGTACGCCGGATCACAAGGACACAAATATGAATCGTTATCATATATTGGTAAAGTCACATGAACACTTTCTGAACATCGACAAGAAAGTATACTCAGTGGATTCTCGATTTTCACGTCTAGTCGTTCGCGTGATACTGTGACAGTGATCGTGAGTTTTAGTAGATGTATAACTTTGATTGTTTCTGAAATACAAGATGGATGTAGAGGAGCATTACACTTTGGTATCTGGAAATCGAATATTTTGTGATAATACATTCTTCCGAAATCAGTGATCGTGTCAGACTCTAGAATTTCTTCTAATTCGTTATCAGTTTTACTGTTTGATCTGCTCCATGGGAACCGACTTTCATTAGCTCTTGAAACTGAAGATATCGATACGGAAGAGCTTGCAAAATTACTATTATCATCAGCACTGCCTTCTCGACCATCACCACCGCCTCCAGAATTTGATATACTTTGATTACTATCACGTCTTACTGACAAAGATTTATTTTCTCTAGATTCTAATTCGTCTACTTTTGTTTCGCCAATATCTTCTGATCGTTGAACAAACACAATTCGAGATTCTGCATTTTTAATTCCTCGTGCACGATATAATGTCCTTTCGATTAATTGAACTTGTATTGCATGAAAACGTAATTTATTATTTAATGGGAATAGTTTAAATTCCAAATCTTTTATACACCCACCAATTGGATACGCTTTTTGTTGCAATGATATCTCATATGAAAACAAATCCTTTACATCACGTGCTATTCCTAGCCCTCCTCCGGTAGTTTCGTGATCCGGCATAGCTCGAATTATAGTAATCTGCCGTCTAGCTTTCAGATTCGGTAGTAGTGGACTACTGCGACCAACTACTGCGGTTAATTTATAGCTTAAAGTTCCTAATGGAAGTTCTATCGTCTCCGGGAGTGTGCCCGGTAAGAATAATGAGAATGTATATGTGTGTGTGCCAGCTTGAAGCAATTGTGAACTTGAATTGTTGTTCGACGAAGAATTTGATGATGTGGAAAAAATCTTGAATTTAGATGAAGTGGAAATCGGTGATGCTGTAGAAGATGATGATGCGGTAGAATCAGATGAAACAGTTGGATCAGAAATTGAGTCAAGATATGACCATTGATAAGAAACAATTTCCTGAATGTCTTGTAATTCGCTTCGATTCTTTCCGATCCCTTTGAACAAAGACCAATAAAAAAAGGAATGAATTAAATTCCGCCACTTCACACATCCAATTCTCCCAACTGCCGAACGCATTTTCTCTGTAAAAATAAAAAAGGAAAGAAAAATAAATACCTTTCGGCCAAAAAGTTTTACTCTTTCCCACAAACTGCATATCAATCTTTTTTATCTTTGTTGGTTTTGCCAGCGTTAACACCAACTCTCCTCTCAACATACACCCGACCGCTTCTTGCGGTCCACCACGAAAGAAAATTATCGGTTCTGCCACGTTTATTTGCAGGTTTGCAGATGTCTGATGCGTTTGTTTGGTATTCATGCTTCCTAGATAATCGAATTATTTAACATAACAATGTATTTATTTGCTCGATTCTTTAAAGAAAAAGTTGGATTCTGTTATTAAAAAAAAAACAGTAACAGCAATTTATGTATGTAGACAATAATGGAAAAGAAAGGAGTTTATATGGCCATAGAACCATAACGATAGAGCGAAAAAAATCAAGATTCATACAAAACACCATAAATAGCAAGTTGTGTGTGAATCTATTCAGCTGCACCTAATTTTTGTTACATGACTCTATCGCCGATCGTTATAGCTAATTGAATCAAAGGAGGCCCACGTTGAATGATGACAAAAACAGTAATGATAATAAAATTTATTCTATGCTCAATTTTCTATATATATTTTCTCTATATTAAAAATATACATACATTTTTTCTTTCAATGATTTGATAATAAGATTTGTTTATTATTATTTTTTAATTATTTATTAATATGATAAATAGAATATTATGTATAAATATAAATATAGAATCATTGTCTCTGTATTTCTTCAACAAGTTTCCAGTTCCGCGCTTTTACATGAACTTCAAGCTCATGCTCTACACTCTGTTTCCACGCATTAATTGGCCCGAACACATTGCGTTTCATTGATTGTTCGCATTTAGGACCACAACACTTCGCTTGCCGACATATATCGGGAAATGATGGACTTGTTATCCTTGGAGTAAAAGAGGAGGAAATACTTGTCGTTTTTGCTGCTATTATTGTCGCTGATGTCTCTGATGGATTTGAAGTAAAATCCGATTCCGGTATATCTGATAGTGGTGATGTTTCATTTTTACTTATGGATTCTGTTTCCTCGTCGTCGAGACTTTGTGTTTTTGGTAAAGGTTCTTTTGTTTCTATTGTTTCGTTATTATTTAAATGAATTTCGGCTTCTTTTGCTGGTGATGGAAATGGTGGTCTTGTTTCTGTTGTTATTTCTCGGTTTGTTTCTTGTTCTTCTTTTTCAAGAATAGGTAATGATGACGATGATGCCACTTTTATTGTTGTCATTCGATTATTAACGGTAGTAGTGATTAATGTGTTGTCGTAATCATTATTAGCAGATGTAGAAGAAGATGATGATGAATTCAATTGAGGTGACCATTCAATATAGTCCTGTAATATTTGATCAACCATCGACACAAATAAATCGACATCAACTCTCCGTCTCACATCACGAACATAACACCACCAGGCAGAAGTGATTGTCTGTTTCTTTATCATGTCTCTCAAATTTCTCGTAAAAGTAAAATCAACCACATGCTGTTCCAACTTTACAAATTCCTCCATTTCCTCGGGACTGAGCACATTTTTCGCCTCTTCGAGACATTGACGTGCCAATCCACGATCAGTTTCGACACAACTCTGATCCTGACATTCCCAATCGTAGAATCTTCTTCCGAGAGATAACATTGGCCCTGCATACCACGCTTCTTGTCCGTCGTTCCCGAATTTTGCGGAGATCGAGAGAACGGTCGATGATTGTGACATGAACAGTGCATTGGTCAGTGCGTTGCCGTGCGACCCGATAAGTAATGAGAGATTTCGATACAAAAATGCGGACTCGATGAATTCGTCGTCGTTATTATTGTCGGGACTGTGATCGATTATTTGTGGTCGGTATCCGCGATTTATGAGTGCATCTACTAGCTCATCGAAATTCACTATTTGTTGTATATCTTGTCGATTAATCAGTCCAACTCGAAAATCTTTGGGAATTGTGAAATTATATTTATAATTGCTATTATTATTATTATTATTATTATTATTATTATTATTATTATTATTATTATTATTATTATTATTATTATTAT